ATGTAGAGTGCAAAACCTTATGTTTTGTATTATTTTGTATCTATTTGTATTGTACATATTTGTATTTGTACTCTTTCCAAACTGAGCCTATGGTTGAATTTACTAGGGGTGAGCATGGGTTGGTTCGGTTCCATCGCAGAACTTAGAACCTACCCTATAGGGCTCGATTCCAAGATTTTGAAATCGAAACCTACCCTGTGAAGGTTGGTTCTAGGGTTGTTTCTATCTTTGGTGGTTCCAAGGTCTACCCATGGAACCTGTTTTCTCTTTACTCCCCCATTCAAAAAAAAAAAAGAAGCATGTTTTTTAAAAATTTGATTTCCAATAAATATAATATATAGTTTAAAACTTATATTATCTTTATTGATTAAATTGAGTACCATTATATGCTTCAAAACTTATAATTTAAATTTTGTAAACTTTACCGTTTACATTAATTACTTATTGTACACATTCAAATATTAAAATGAAAACAAATGATGAAATAACTTAAGTAACTCAATGGTCAAGTGAGACCATGACCTTTGTAACTATGAGTGCTTGGGTACAAATATTCATACCCCCAAAAGTATTTTGGGATTTATTTCAAGTCAAGTTTGGTTCCAAGGCAGGTTCCACCAAGGCCAAACAAGGTTAGTTCATTGGTCGATTCAGGTAGGATAAACCCCTAAATCCTATAACTGGACTGGGTGGGGGTCGGTTCCAAGAATTTGGAACCAGACCCTACCCTATAATAGATTGGATAGGGTCAATTCAAGGCTAATTCAAGGTCGGATTTGATAATTCTGTATTTCGATGCCTTAAGGGCATCATTTTAGGGGTATTTTAGACCTTAGATTGACTAATCTATACCCTTTTTCCGGTTAAATTCAATGTTGTGACCTCTAAGGGTCCTTGTAGAAATTATGGGTAAAAACTAAGAAATTTACAGAGTTTTTTGCAGATTTTGGGAAGTTGATGAAAATTCCAGCTAAGAGAGGGGGTGTTTCTGTGAAAAACTGAGCACGGGAGGGCGTCTCCTATTTGCTAAACCTAGAAAGGAGCCCCTCCTACTGTATTAGCATACTCCCCTCTCCTTAACAAACCCTAGGGTGCCTCTCCACTCATTCTTTTCACCTCTAACAAACCCTAGTCGCCCCTAACTGTTAAATCTTCACCTTCCACTTCTCCCCAACATCTAATCTCAACTATCTAAGCCTTAGCAACCTCTCATACCCTTATATATTCACCTTGCAATCTTCACCCTCCATTCTAGGGTGCCATCATTTTAGCATTCTAACCCTAGGGCGCCACCCACTCCTTTTAATCTCTACCTTTTAGCCTTAGGCGCCCAAATCTCCACCGTCCAGTCCTAGGAGCTTAAATCCCATTCCTCCATACTTATAGGCACCTTCTCCTTTTCACTCTAGCTGTAGGATCCCTCTAATTTAATCCTAACCCTCCATTCCTAAACCCTAGGGGCACCCTTCTCTATAAAAAGGACCCCAAGGGCCCTAGAGAAAGGGTTGGTTAGCCTAGTTCACAAGGCCAAGGCTTCTTGAGGGGTTCAAGCATTACAGGAAGGAGGACGCCCAATTCTTGTCAGGAGGGGTTCCTGCAAGCAGTTCGTCCAACCTACAACTGCCGCAATTGGAGCTGATCCACCATTTTTTATTTTGCTTTACTTTCTTTCTTTTTGTTATTCAATTTTTCTAACAATTTAATTTCTGTAATTTTCGATTTTGGTTTGATTTAATTTTTGTTTTTCTTTGTCTTTTGTAGATCTAAATTTGCCCAGTTCAAGGTTAAGGTGTCTCGAGGGCTGAACGGAGGAGGAATGACTTGTAGTTTGTTTTCTCGAAAAGCTACCACCATTGGATCCGAATTTCAGCACATTTTTATTTATTTTCTTGTTAATTTCAGTTTTATTTAATTTCTTGTGTTTTTCAATTATGAATATTTAATATCAGATTTAATAAATTTTATTTTCTTATTTTTTGCAAATCTCAAATCTATTTCTTCTTTTTATTTGTCCGGAACAAAATAATAATTTTTAACTTTGCTTCCCTGAGGATTCGACCCCTTCCTCACCACTAAACTACGTTCTTTATTTAGTTTTGAGGATTGAAAAAATATAAATTATTAACCCAGTGTCCTGGGTGTTTGACGACACATCCCGGGCACACCTGGCTCCATTCAGTTTTAGGTAGAACCTACCCATTTGTTCACCCTTAGTATTTAGTGCTCACCTGACCTAATAGTTTCTATGGTGATCATAGGTGGACGTCATGTTTCAAATGAGGAACTAATATCTCTTAAAGCAGTGGAACTTTGTACCATGAACTGTTTGTGGTTCATTGGTGATGTTAAAACTTTTAAGCACCATATGTTCCTTGAGCTGTGTTTAGTTGCAATTCAAATAAATTTGCACTGATGCAAAAGATTTGAGTGTAAATTTTGACCTATTTTTATTTGAAATTTTAGTTTATTTTGTTTGATTGCATTACAAATGAAGTAAATTAAAACATGAAGCATAATAAAATAAAACCCAAAACAAAACACAGCCTTAATTGCAAAGAGCCATCATGTTCTTTTTTTTGTCATATTAATCATTTTGTTAGCCATCCTGCGCATTGGGTAGTTAATTATGCTAAAATCCCCCCCTGTCCCACTTTTGTTTTGATACTTCTCCTAACTGGCTACCAAATGTTGGTAACTTTCTATCTTTTTCTATGGTTTTATATAATTTCTTTATTTATAAAGAAAACAAGTAGAACAATCCCATCAGCTTTCTGGACGATTTTCTTATTTTGAACTAAAATGGACTTTTGATCTATCACTCTAAATGTGTTTGAGGTTAGTTCAATTTTATGTAGCTAACGTAAGGCATGTTTAGGGGTGCAAGTCGGGTATCCAATTTAAAGAATTTACACTGTAGTGTAGTGTATGTACCCTTGAGCTAGGCCCATTCAAATTATAACCAGTACTCAACCGAAGCCCGCCCAAATTGCACCCATAGGCATGTAATGAATGGTTTAGATGATGAAAATGGAACCACTCGGGATTTCCTACTCACTTAACGTGGTTGTGGGCCTAAGCCCATTCCACTGAAGTCTTTTTATTTTATTTTATTTCAAGGGTCTTTGGTGTGTTAGCTTTAATTTCTCTTTGTGGTTTTCAATAGATGTTTTAGGTTTTGGTTGGTTGTACTTCATTGTTTTGGGAGTCTTTAGTGGCTTTTTGGTTTCTGTTAAAGGATTATGACCTTCATTTTCTCGTGATTTCTTCGTTCTGCCAATTGCAGAGGCCTTGCTTGACGACACTGCTGGTGCTCAGCTGTTCTAGGTTGTTATTTCTGTCTTTGTGGTGGTGTCTAATGAGAATTGGTTTGTTTTGGTTGCTTTTATAGGTCTGAGTCTCGGTTTCTTTGTTCTATGTCTGTTTTCTTGTAATCTGAGCATTATCAATGAAGAATTGCCTTTTAGCATTAAAAATAATAATAATAATAATAAGATAAGTGGTGAGTTAAAGAATAATCCAAAAACTATAAAATGTCTAGAATAATCAAATACAACAAGAGACCCACATTGTACATAAATCCTAGACCCTGGGCGCTGACTTGAGTCTTATCCATTGCACCCCACCTCCCTCGGTAATGCCATGAAATCGTGCTCAAACAGTTTTTCTTGATAGGAGAATAGTAAATGCTTGAATCATACAAGTAAGAAAAAAGTGATGTGTAGTACAAGTGTTTTTTAGGTCATTTGTTGTCAAGTTTGGAGGAGATGTTGACCAACTTCCCTGTGTTTTTTACAAGGGGGCATTCTTTTTTAAGATTTTGAGAGGGGGAAAGTTGCTCAATGGGATTTTGATTCCCATTGACCAAGAATCCCACATTCTTTTTTCAGATTAATGTGGGGACCAGGGAAATTTGGGTATGATACTCATCTCCTAGGTGGGTAAATAACCTTCTCACTTAGGGGAAAGTTTTTAATACTTGAATGGGGCAAAAATGACCATTTTAATAATGAATTGTTGTGGTTAAAATGGTCATTTCCTTTTTTACTTGGGAAATAAAAGAACATGGGTAAATACACTTATATGGATAAGTGTTTTCCAAGAAAAACTTACCCAGATAATTGTATTTACCTAAATAAATAACTTAACAAAAAGCGAACGGGGCCTAAGTGTAGAGTCCACACATAATGAACTTTTCCTCTGCTAAAATTTTGGTATTATTATTTGTTTTTGATAAGTTTCACCCTTCTCCCCATTGGGTAAATCATTCACCTCGGAGGAAAAGTAACCAAACCATGTGGAACTAAAATGCCCCTGCTAACACACAAAAAAGTTAGGCCCAGGCCCATATTATACTAATAAATGTCAGAGAATGAAGGTACAAGGTGACAATGAGTTGCGACACAACCTACACTCACACCCTCAAACCCAAGCAAGGTAACGGAGTTTCTCCATGAAAGGGTCATTTGTATTTAAAACCTTTTGGATTTGTTTGTTTGTAGTGCAAATTCATTTTGCACTAGTATAAATGCATGGGAGTGAAAACTTTGGTTCGTTTTTTCTTTAGGTTTACTTTTCTTTACTTCATTTGCAATGCATCCAAGCGTAACAAAGTAAAACTCAAAATAAAAGTAAACCAAAATTTGCTTTCAACTCATTTTCAGTCCTATACTTTTCAAAGCCTTTACTGATACTTCACTTCTTTTGCATGTCAAAAGTGTGAAAGAATACATTTGGACCAAATAGCATGCAATAAGTGCAATAAATTTCTAAGACACTAAAGGCTCAGTTGGAAGAATGAAAACACAAATATGTTCAATGCAAAGCCTTGTATATGATATTCTTATATCATGTATTTGCACGATTTTCAAACTACGCGTAAGGGGAAGGGGATATATGCGCTTTCTTTACATTATTTTTAAAGAATGCTTGTTGATTCTTGCCACTTAATCTTCCTTTGTCTCATTATGGGGTTGAAGGCATTGCTCAAAAATATTTGCTCGTAGTAGAAGTAAAGTAGCAAAATCACCAAAAGAATACGCGACTATGTTGATTCTGTTGTGTTGAACAAAATTTGTAAGAACTAACAACCCATGATACATTAACTGCACAAATGCACACCCTGCTTCCAATTAAAGATCAAATAATGTGATTTCAAAAGCTAATCAACTTATCTTTGATGGGAAGTATCTTGGGTAATCATTGGATGGGAAGTTGGTATCTTCTGATCCTTCTCCTACACTAGAAACCTGAACATCTTCAACACTGTTCGATTGGTCATCTGAGAACAAGGTGTCCAAGTTTTGGGTATCTAACCAGTTCTTCTTTGCTTTCTGTTGCTGCTCAAACATCTTCTTCAGTTGTCTCCCCTGTTCCTCAATCCGCATTTGTAGGTTTCGCTGAATCTGGTTCAAGAAGGAAAAAGGAGGAAGGTATTATTTGATGATATAAGTTCTAGAAAAAAGACATAAAAGTACAGTTATACCTCTAGCTGCTCATGAAGACGCCTCTGGACTTCCAGTTGTAGTCGCAATGCTTCTGTGATTTGCATGCCACTAGCAGATACATGTTGATAAATGAGAGTTAAAAATACTTAGTTTGCATATAAGGGGATGGTGAATATTATAGCAAGAATGGGAATAAATATTGGAAATAAATATAGTTCAGTTTAAGTTTTAGCACTTCTCTTACGTTTTTGCGTCAATCTGAGGAATGCTGTTAGCACAGGTTCTCTCAGTTTTTCCTGCAATCGAAAGTAGAGCAACTATTTCAATCAGAGATTATGAGGAAATTCCTGGTTTATATCACTTATAATTCATCAAAGAGAGAAGAGATCGATGGCTATGCTATCTTCTGGTGTTGTCTCACTATATTTAGATCAGGTCTTTCAGAATACATTGAAGTAATAAGCATAAGAACCACTGACCTTCCATCAGCACCAAAAGGGCTAGTACTTCCTCATAAAAGAGGAGATTTTTAATTCAAGAAACTAACTTTTTATGTTTTTTTAAAAGGGCTTGGTTGGGGACAGCTTGGTTTTCGTGCATATTTAACTGGTGATATGCTACTGTAATATAGTCATTGGAGGTGAAAACCTAGCTCTGAAAAGTGGAGCTCGGTTAACCATTTTATGACTAAATAAATTTGTAGTGAAATGAGCGTAGCAGATATGAGGATGTTGAGATAAAAGGTTGTCTAGAATCTCTTGTTTAGAAGGGCTTTGAATGATTGGGAGATCGAACCTTTTAGTAGGCTTCTTCAAAGGTTGTACAGCACTCAAATTGACCCTAATGCAGCAGATAAAAGGTTTTGGGTTGCAGATAGCAAAGGCCAGTTTTCGGTGAAATCTTTCTATGGTAGGCTGGCCCAAGAGGAAGTAGATCTGGATTTTCCTGTGTATATAATATGGTGCAAGCACATTCCATCGAAGATCTCTTTTTTTATTTGGGCTGCTTACCTGAATAAGATTCCTACTAGAGACAATCTGGTTAGGAGTGGTGTGGTGATTAATTCTAAAAGATGTGCCTTGTGCAACAGTGATGATTAGACTGTTGACCGTCTGTTATTGCATTGCAGCTTCACTTACAAGATATGGGTGAGGATCCTCAGAATTTTTGCAATCAGAAGTTGCTGCCCAGAATCAATGGCTGTTTTGGTCAACAGTTGGAGGGTACAAGGCCTGAGCAAGAAAGGGAAAGTTCTATGGGATCTGATTCCAGGTGCTGTGTTATTCCAAAACAAAATCTGTCAAGAAGAGGAAGTGTGGCAGAAGATTGTGGGGAAGCTGTTCTCCTGGTCTTCGATTCAGCTAAAAGTTGACAGTTCTTTTTACGGTTCTCTTTTGACTTTAAAAGCCTGTTTGTATCTCCCATTGGTTATGTAGTTTGAGCGCTACCTTTGTACTTCAATTGTACAGCTTCTGGTTGTACTTTCTTTTTAATTAATTGATACTTATAAAAAAAAAATGTTGAGATATACGAATGGCAACCCTCCCCCCCCCACCCCTAATGAAGGGAAAATAGTTAAAATAGATTGGTAGTGTTCATGGAAGGCAAACCTTCTAGGGTGGGGTATGATGCAAGTTAAGGGTTCTAAAAGAACTTCACGAAGACTACAAAAGACATAGATTGGAATAGAGCTTTGCTGAGTGAGTTGGATAAAATGTCATGTTGCACCCCTCCCACTGACATTTGGAATCAAGAAAAACCGAAGGCAAGGAAAATACACAATTAAGCATAAGCAACCAGGAAATCTCTAGAGAAGCCGAAGCAACTGTTGACATAAAGAAGCTGGAGTCAAGAAGCTGAATTCTCTTAATACATAGGCAGCCAAGTATGAGGACATAAGCATCTAAATCAAATCAAGATTCAAAGTATCAATACCCTAATATGCTGGAATGGGTGTACCAATACTTTGTACCTAACCCAGCCTTTTTTTTTTTTTCAAAAATAGGTCAAGGGGTAGGTCTTAGGCTGCCTACCCCCTGAAATGGGTCAAAAGACCAAAGCTCTTGTATTTTGAGTATTGGACAACCACCAATATGATACAATATGCTCAATTGGGGGAGTATTGTGTCGAAATTTCCATCTGAGGATTAACAAGCAAAGGTGCACAAAGGGATTGAGATGGTTCAAAATGACCTTTTCTGGTACCTCAGTTCAATAATTCATAACAAGGGAGAGATTGAGGAGGATATCCCCCATAGAATTAGAGCAGGATGGGCAAAACGGAGGGATGTATCAATCTTATTTGATAGGTGAATACCACCTAGATTAAAAGGAAAATTCCATGAAACTGTTGTAAGGCTAGTTATGCTGTATGGAGTAGTATTGTGCAGTCAAGAAACATGTCCAAAAAATGACTAGCAGAAATGCGTATGCAGAGATGGATGAGTGGAAAAACTAGAAAGGATAGGGTAAAAAATGAAGTCATTTGAAGGAACCTAGTAGCTCCAATATATATCTATATCTATATCTATACTACTATTAAAAGTGGGAATGAGGTCTATTTTTGGTCCCTATTTATTGTGAGGGCAAAAAATGTAATTTAAACCACTATTATTAAGTTTGTTCTATTCCCTCTCATTAAGTCCTATATCTAAGGTGACTAAAATGCTCCTTTTTTTTTTAATTTGATCTGTATTTATTGTGAGGGCAAAACACATAATTTAAACCACTACTGTTAAGTTCATTCTATTCTCTCCTATTAAGCCTTATATTTTAGGTATTAACTCCCATTTTTCTCATTAAATCCTATATTTAAGGTATATTAAATAAATGATCTTTTTGAACTTTTTTCTTTGCTAAAATGTCCATACTTTTGAATTTGGTCCCTTTGATTGTGAGGGAAGAAAACACAATTCAAACTACTACTTTTCACTTCCTTCAATTCCCTCTCATTAAGTCCTATATTTAAGGTGTTATCTCCCATTCTTTCTCATTAAATCCTATATTTGAGTTTTTTCTTTATTTCTTAGCAATAAATTCTACTAATTAAATCTATCCAATAATTTTAACAATACAAAGCCTGTGTTCAAAACTGACTTAACAAAATTGTTCTTCCGTCTAGGTGGCAGGTAAGTAATGGAACCATCTAGGTCAAATAGGTCAACCCATGATGTCATTAAATAAGTAATACAAAATTTACAAAAAAAATACAAATTTTTGTGAAAATTTTTGGGCACATATCTAATATTAAATATCCATCATACTAAACAAAAATTAGTATGATAAATAAGAAGTGACTTTAGTAATGATGGAAATGAAATAAAAAATTTAAAACCAACTTAGAAATGAAAGATTTTTCTATTCGGGTGGTGGGTCAATGGTTCAGTCTTTTAGGTCAAATGGGTCAATTCATGATGTGATAATTAAATAATAAAAATTTTAAAAAGATAGAAAAACATATAAATTATTAAAAAAAATATAGACTTTGTAGAAGGCATCTGGATACATCTTCAATATTATGTATTCATCATATTAAACAAAAATAAGTGTGATAAATGAGAACTATTTTTATTGATGATGGAAATGTAATAGAAAATTAAAACTAACTCAAATACAAAACTATTTTTCCATCTAGGTGGTGGGTCAACGATCCAACCAATTGGATAAATGGGTCAACCAATGATATCATAATTAAAACAACAAATTAAAAAATAGATAGAAATACAAACAAGTTATAAATATATACAGAATTTATAGAAAGCTCTAACATATCTGAAATACTATACATTTGTCGTATTAAACAAAGATCATTATGATAACAAGAATTATTTTTATATTTAATTATGTAAATGAAATGAAAATTTAAAGCCACCCAAAAATTAAGTTTTTTTTTTCTTTTAAGGAAAATGGTTAACTGATGATGCCATAATTACAATAATAAAAACTCAAGAAAAA